GGAAATCGCAGAGTGTCGTTATTTACAATAAGAAAAAACAAGTGCCCTGTAATGATTATGGATTTGAGGATGGAACACTTCGCCTGATTTTTGTTTCATTGCCTCTTTGTCATTGGGAGGCCTGTCTGACGATCTGGCTAAGTCTCAAGAGTGAGTATCTTTGTGTTTGCTCAGCAGAGAACAACAGTTGCGATATGTAAATGGGGTGCCTCTTCCTTTCGGATGCCTTGGGATATGTATAATGGATTAAGTTGGCTTTGTGCAGAGCAAACAGGTCTGTATTACCAAGAATATGAATAATGTCGGTTACCATAATTGCTAACATCTGGTTTTCCATAAATCTGTTAAATTGCATGGAAGCAGAATTAGATTTCTATGTCATAAGTAAAGCAATTACATGGAACTCTGTAGGCAATGTGGTCCTATATTCAACTGTGAAATCTTTTCTTTCTGGAGAGGTGAAAGCAGCTCCTGCTTTTGTACTGACTTTATTGTGCACAATAGGTGTATTTGTCTTTGTGCTCAGGTTTTCTTGATTTATATGAGGAAAACAATGCCAAACTATTTGCACTTTAGTAAATGCAAAATATCCACATATTATAACAGCAATTGTTCTCGGGCACTAATTACCAGGTTAGAGATTACTTTAGCAGACACCATAAATTATAGATCCTTTTGTAGCCATGCTTAGCAGATAGGCCTTCTTTTGTCCTTGTCCTACAGCATTTGACAAGAAAATAAAATGGTTTTCAGTTGTGGGGGGCGGGAGCGCTTTCTTATTTCAGTCTGGTTCCTATTTTGCCATATTAATTCTACTTTGAATCAGGCTCAAGGGCTTTTGCAGATGAGAACTCAATAACAAAATGCTTTCTGTGCAGGTCAAGGCTACAGTCTGCCTTGCTCTCATTGAACACTCTAAAGACCAAATTTTAACAAAGTAGGCTTTTTAATAGTATTAGTCTGAACTTTTTGGATTTAGGTAAGTTAAAGTAAATAAATACATTGAACATCCACAGTCTTTCTACTATTTCTGGCACTGGGAAGAAAAAGAGAAATACAGTTTAGTCTGTGCCCTCAATGAGATCACTGTTCATGAAGAGGAATATATTTAATGTGTAACTTCCTAGAGGTGAGTGACAGAATAAATTGAGTATGAGGCACAGAGGAAGCAGTCAGTGCTGATTACCCTACCCAATGAGAAATGATGGTGTGGTTCTGGAGTTGTAGGACTGCACAGAAGTAAAGGTAGCAGAGTAAGAGACAGGCTGATCTTACCAACTAAATAGCCTATACCTGATTTCATTCCATAAAGGTTAATACTAGAGTAGTACCATAGTAAGAAAAAGCTAAGATACAAACGTGGGTGCCAACATATACATGTGCATTTATACATATATATGTATATACATATGCGTGTGTGTATTTTTAAATTAGCAAGTTAAAAAATGTATATGTTAGGGTGTAGAACGTGATATTTTTGCAAGGAATACATCGTGTAATGGCCAAGCCAAGTTAATTAACACATATTTTACCATATGTGTGTGCTTGTCATTTTGGGGATGGGAACACAAAATAATACTTTTAGCTGTTTTCGAGAATATAATAATGCATTGTTAACGATAGACACCGTAGTGTACAATAGGCCTTCACCTACCTGACAGTTTGTATTTTTGCTTTTGAGTAAAAAGTGAAGGGACAGAAGAGAACAATTCAAGAGCTAAATGGGAAGTTATGTTATTTCGAAGGCTTGAACCTCCTAGTAGAAGTGTCAGAGCAGTACTGGCAAGTGGTAAATACAGGAGAGGCACAGACAGATTTGCTTTGTAAGCACTTCCATCCTGTGAAAGATATTGACAGCAATGATTTCCATGGGGCTGAAAAGGACCCAGAGGTCCATGTCTTGCTTTACATCAGTTAAATGAGCCCCTGGTGGTGGTAAACCTGGACACTGGCATTTTTTAAGGCTCTGCAGATAGTTTGGCTTTGCGCAGTCACAAATTACTACATTATAATGAGAAGTGGCTGGAGGTAAGGAGCCCAGGTTGGAGGCGGTGACGATAGTCTCGCTGTGATGAATGTGAAGATATGAATCCACAGTTTAAGGAAACATGAATTCTATTATTTTAGTTTAGACATGATAGGCCATTTATCTATCTATAGCCACATATCTATCATCTATCTACCTACCTGTCATATGCTTCTATATTTATGACACCTAGGTTATAAATATGATGAGAAAAATATATGACTGAATATTTGCAATACAGTACTTTCAGAAAAACTAAGGAGTGGGAATAATGCAAATGTGACCATTCGGCGTGGATCTAAGGCGGTATAAACTTAGAGATGAAGCCAGTCTACCAGCCGTCATTGCTAGGGAGTTCAGAAGATGAGAGTGAGGGTACTGAATTGGCACCACGTTGAGAGATGCTTAACTGAGAAGGCAGAGCTTGAATTTTGTCTTAAACATTTACATTAACCCAATGAAGAAACAGACATAGGTGGAGTTCTTATTCCACTATCCATATTGTAATTTCGGGAGACTGTAGATTGAGCAACGTGTTCCCGTAGACGATGAAGAAGAGTTACTGCAGCTGAGTAATGTGTCCAACAGCACACAGCTGTGAGGTGCAAAATGACTTTTCACAGTGGGGATTCTGTCAGAGGGAAGAGCTTGGCTTTGACCTGGTTCCCCGGACTTTTTCACCAACGCCAGTTTTAGTTGACAAGAATTAGAGGAAGAAGAATGAGAGCAGAGAGCGTCCAGGGAGCACTGTGTGGTCAAAGGCACTGAGAGCTGTCTAAGAAAAGAGAGCCTGAGCCGAGACTGGTTGATCTGAAATCTAGGCATAATAATTAGGAATCATTTGCGTAAATTTCAAGAGGAATCATTGTTCTTTAACCCAGTGGTTTGACTGAGGCTACAGCTGGTGGGGCAAAAACAAAAAACAATAAATCTTGGAAGGATTTGCCGGCTATAAACTTTGCTTGGGTTGTTCAGTATCTTCTACTTTGTGTCACTGCTGTGAATTAAAGTTCTTGCTACTATACTGAATGTAGTCAGGAAGAATTAGACCATGTAGTTCTCATAATTTTCAAGTAATCTATGCTTCAAAATTTTAACACACTTTGGGTAAATATATCGTATCATATTATTTTCAGAATTTCAACTAAAATACTAAAAAAATTACAAGTGATGATTGACAAATATGATGAATGTTCAATTTAAAAAATTATTACGATGAAATACACATGGCCATTAATCTGCCTCAAAATACCTACCCCACTTCAAACACACCTATCCCAAAGCAATGTGTCTTCTAAACTAATAATTTTAAAAAAATGTAATCACTCTTTGTAAGATCGTGACCTTGAAAGTGCATTTCAGTGTCTAGAGGGTAAACAGTTACAAGTAGTTGAAACCATGGAACACCCTTAGGCTGAAAAAAGACAGGGCATGGAGTTGGCACAGGACCCTGGGAAGGACTGCCATGCATCAGGCAGGGAGTGAGGACACAACCCCTGCTTTCTCCGTGCTGTCTGTGTGACCAGTCAGCACCCTGGTTTCCTGTTTTGAAAAAGGAGAATAAGTATTTTAGTCTTATAATTTCAATACCCTAATGCATGAAAGTGACATAAAAGTTCATAAAACTATATATCAATGTATAAAATTGTAGCAGTGAAACTGATATTATCCTTTTAGAATTTCTCGGTGCACTATAGGAGAATATGCTCTTTGTGATTTTTTAAAAATGTGTTTGTATTATCCTTACAAACTTTTGGACATTTTTAAGATGAAATTTAGGATGTAGAATAAGTCATTATTGTGACATTTTATTTTCCTACGGAAGTCAAGCCTACCAAAAAGCAGCCTATTCATGGTTGTTTGTGTACTCCTGAGTCCAGCTTCCGGAAGATGGTGTCTTACAGGCTCATTTCAACACTTACAACCTTTAGTGTGCAATGAATCTTATACATAGCAGACTTTTGGTAAAATTTTGAGTTCATGTTGTTATCTGAAGGATACTTGTAGCCGTGGCCATAGGTTGTTTAAGACAAACAGAAGACTCTGACAGCCAAGTTACAGATTCCTTCAAATGGTTTAAAAATGTTACAAAACTGAAAGACCTAGTGCATTTCCCTTGAGGAGTCTCACAAATAGTACCAGTGAGTAGCTATTACTGGGCTATGAATTTTATCTGTTTTAAAAGGGCATTTCTTTTTTAGAAGTTATTCAGTGGATTGTCTTCTGGAAAAGAGCAATCCAGGCTAAACAGGCAGGTGTTCAGAATGTTCTTAAGGCCATTCAGACTTTACCTGTCAGAATGAGTTGGCTGGATCTGTGTTTCCCTTCATGAGGCTGTCAGTGCAAACAGGACATATATGCATCTTTCATCCACATCCATATTAGACGCTGCTGAAGCGCTGATATTATTCTTGTGTGGTGCCAAAGTGCTACTGGTCATAAGGGTGGAAAGCATTTATTAAACAAGTCAGCTACCAAGAATTATCCCATTTCTTTCAGTGAAAGATTCAAGATCTGGGAGGAGATCTTACTGGGTCGATGTTGCCTAATTGCCCATTTGTTCGTACAGCACATTTCCTAAGAGACCTCAGCATCCACAGTTCATGAATCAGCATTGTTTATGGCAACTGGATGAACTAGCACCTGACGATAACCTAGGAGAAGTTCACAGCTCCCACTGGATATTTTAGTAACCTGGGTCAGGCAGCTCTGGGTTTGATTTGCGGGATAACCACCTGCTGTTTAACTCTAGTGGCTTCTGCTCCATCATTGACAAAATTGGGATAAGAGCTGATCCTCCCAAATAAAACTGCTTTGCAGAGCAAAGGAAATAAAGCATGGGAAAGCTTGGTGTAGTAGCTATGTTGGGCACAAGGTCAGTGTCCAATAATGTTACTCAGCGTTATTGTAGGCGATTGTTATTGTGTGCGCTCCCTTGGCTGGATCCTAAAGCCCTGTGCTTAATTTATTGCAGACATTGACGAATGTGCCTTAAGAACTCACACCTGTTGGAATGATTCTGCCTGCATCAACTTGGCGGGGGGCTTTGACTGTCTCTGCCCCTCTGGGCCGTCCTGCTCTGGCGACTGCCCCCATGAAGGAGGACTGAAGCGCCACGGACAGGTGTGGACCCTGAAAGAGGACAGGTGTTCTGTCTGTTCCTGCAAGGTGAGACTGATGTGGCTCAGGGGACTGTGTCACTACACGTTCTGTCCTCCCTTTGCCTTCCTGCTTCCCACTTCCTGCCCCCGAGCGGTTGACTCCCTGTAGCTCCTGAAAAGCTCCTCCTGCTCTGATCTACGCTGAAGCCAATGATGTAGCTGCGTGGCCGGAAATGGGCTTATCGATTGCGCTCTTAGTGAAAAGTGAGGTGTGGAGATGACAAGAGACTACAGGGAGGGGAAGCAGGGCTGAGAACACAATGCTATTCCACCCAGTGAGAGCCTCCAGTGCCTTTCAGGTTGTCTGGGGGACAGCTTTAGAGAGCCCTCGTCCTACATTTACGTCAACTTGCTCCTTAAACCTATGCTTTGCCTGAAACGAGTACTTGCATGAGCTGGCTCACTTTTTGGTGGTATCTTCCAGAAAAGTGAGGCTCCCAGTCTTGCTTCCAGAGGTCAGACGGGTAGAATTCTATTCTGAGCTTGTGCTAATGATAGTATGAGGTCTCTTTATCATTGGTGTCTCCTTTAGCATTCTCAGTCCTGGGCCAATCTTTACATTAAATTGCTTGCAAGTGAGTTTAATGCTTGTGAAAATAAAATTCTGTCACCATGGGCTTTTATTTTATGCTTTGGAGAATGGGTCTATTAAAGTGTTTGATTCCCTTGTGCTTTAGTTCTTTTGTTGATCCTTCCTACTTATTTTTCTTTGTTATTGCTTCACTGTAGCTCTTTCCTCGAATTTCTATGTCCACTGGGATGAAAATATTTAATCTTGGGCTTTATGGACATGAAAGCCAAGAGAAATTATTTGTTTACAAGCCGCTTAGCAAGGCAGGTCTCCTGACAAATTCTTAGTGCACTCTTTAGAAACAGAGCTAGAATAAGCCATTAAAATCATAAAATTCATCTACTCCTCTTGCAAGTCTGCCGTGTCCCAAGAGACCTGGAGGGACCTGTTTAAGAGAGCTGTATTGCCAGATACATATGGTACAACACCTGCATTTTCCCCTTATGCTTAAACCAAGTTCTAAGCACCCAAATTTTGGTTTCTTTCTTCCATTTATTGAGCACCTGCTGTTTCAGGCAACTTGTAATTTAAAAACTTCACTAAATTCATTCTTACAGCAAACTTTGTGAAATGAAAAAGCTCATTGCTACAAGGAGCAAGTAACTTGCCCTAAATACTGAAGACACAAACACAAGGGTCTCTGTGGGCCTGGGACATTCGTACAGCACACAAGGACTTTGAGCTCATTTGTCACAAAGTCGTAGTCTCCCATATCACCACATGTCCTGCAGACTTTACGGATGATACCCGTTGGAGTCCTCAGGACCAGGTAGGCGGTCTGTCAGTGCAGCTTGCTTGACTGAGCCAGCTCAAGCTCTCTGTAGTATGTTAATACCCGAGAGACATTTCCTTAAAAAACATTTACAATATTAACAGTAATATTCAGTCATCTGGTATTGAGTCAGAGGACAACATTTTCTAAGAGAAAGCAAATACTACCACCATGCTGTGATGTGCTGTGAGAATCAGCTGCTCTAGCCTCAGCGGCAACCAGAGACAGAGGGGCAGCAGGAGGACCTGTCATGGACTGTTGAGAGACACGGACTGTCTTGTTGAAACCAAGCATGGACTGTTGAGAGAAGGCTAGAAGGTTAGGAGAAGGAATTGCTAGGTAGGTTTGGGGCCAGTATGGGCCATAGACAGGATTGAGCAGGCCATGGATCTGGGGAAGAATCATTTTATGTCTGCTGTGCGAGAGGAGGTAGAGATGGCCAAGGAGCAGATCTGGGACCCGGCGGAGAAGAACTCCCAGCTGGGGCGTAAGAACAACCTCCTGAAGACTCTTGAAAGTCCAAAGCAGCTGGAGAAGCTACAGTCCAGGCTGAACCCTTAGGAGCCAGCTCCTGAGTCCACACGTGTGCCTGAGGTTGCTGATGGCTCTGTAGTGCAAGTGGCTCCAACCCCAAGATGGACAGGGCTGCCAAACTTGTTCTGCCTAGTTCTTATCGATTTGCTTTTGGGTCCCCGTATATCATCTCACTTGAACAACGTTAGGTCTAGCAGAGATGGTGTTAAGACATGTCCTAAGGACACAGCCACCTGGGTCCTCTCTGGTGACAGAACCCTGACAAAGAGCAGGTCACTGGAGGCTGAATTACAGGAATCTTAGTAACTGTAAGCTAGTGAGTCTCTGGTGCCACTGTGGTCTGGGGTTTTCCATGGCTTGGGCAACTTAGCTACAACCGGCAGAGGGCAAATGTAGTTTGAAATGTGATGCCAGTTTGCTCCAGGAGTATAAGGGTCCTGTTTTTCATTTCCAAGGACATCTTTAATAGCTTCACTTAACAATGACCATCCCTATGAATGAACCACCTATGTTTCAAGCAGAATCAACTTCTGTCTTCTCTCCTGCCTCTCCAAAGCTGGGGCCACAGAGGAGAGAGATTGAGCCAAGTCAGCCTTCTGTTGGTTAATATGACATAATGTGTGGCTTTGGCTAGTGTGAGACCACAGTTTGGGAAGGATTACTTATGAAAGTCTGTTTGATTAGTGGTGGATCAGCTTGGACTTTGTACTGTCATTATAAAAAAAATTGTGAGGCACTTTCAGGTGAACAGCAGACTCACAATCTACTGTGGATGAGGGATGATGAAGGAATAGCTTTGAACCCGTGGGACCTGGACATATGGCCAAGGAGCTTGTCTCTGATGAGACTGTAACGGTGAACACTTTCTACACTCTGACACCTGATCCTGATGTGCATCTCCAGGATTTGGGTTTTGATTTATTTTTAATTTTTGTTAGTATATGTTTGATGTATGTAATGATTACATTCATGATGGGAACTTAGTACACGTATGTAAGAAGACTGTGTTAAATTTTCCAGTGTAGCTTGAAATTTTAATAGACTAATTTTTGTTTCTCAAAAAAAAAGAGGGAGGGAGAAAATGGGGGGCTGGAGTGGAATAGTGGAAAAGGGCTAGTGGAAGAGGTTTTGTGTTCTACCAGCAAAATGGGGATATATTCTTTGCTAAATTCTTTTAGAAAGTATTACTTCCCAGGTCACATTTCCAGGTCACCAGTCCCTCGAATAGACAAGGGACTTTGGGGGAGCATTGAGTAGTGTGAGACTAAACTTCTTTTGTAAGCTTTTATTTAAGTCCATGGTAAAGCAGGGGACCTAACAAGCATTCAAAACTCCCAGGGCTTCATTAATTAACTATGTTAATAAGGCAAGCATTCTGAGTTACTCCATTTCAACTCCTAAAGCACCTCCAAAGATTTCCAGAAATGAGGTTGAGATGCTACAGGAGAGGAGCAGTTCTTGCAGTCTTATTCCCTTAAGAAGATGTACCTCCTCTTTCTCCTTTTCTGAACCAAAGTCTAGGCATGTCTCTACATAAATCTTGTTGTCAGTGTTTTTGTTTTTCAGGTGCAGTCATTGCACTTATAGCGGAATTTCCCAGAGGTGAGGATGAGGAGGACCTGGTTCTAGATCCTGAATTAAGGACTCTGAATCAGTTCTGGAAATCATCCTCATAAAAAAAATTGTGATCTTCTTCATTTTTTTTTTTTGTCATTTGCAGTTGAGAGCATCCTATTGCAATTTCATAAAGGGTTCTGCAGTTCTTAAGCATCCAAATGGATGGTTAGAATGACATCATCTTAAAGGCTATAAAATGAAGATTAGGTTAAGAACTATTTTCATTCATATCTGTTTTGATGTCACATAAAACCAGAGCATACAACAGAAGAATCACACAAGCCAATAAATGATCCGGGCTCAAGTACCGAGAGAAGCAGAGTCGAAGCTATTCTAAAAGACCAATCTCTACTCACGAGTCAGTACATCGGTTATATTGGTTTCATGTTTATATAGTTTGGCTTCATATAATTGGTTTCATTTTATATAGTGTTTAATGTCAAAAGAAGAGTCTGGAAGATGTCCACAGATGCCTGGAGTTCAGTGTAAAGCTTGGCCAGTGCAGGTGGATTTGATTTACAGTTGAAGCCTTTCCTTGGTAGTAATGAAAACTTGTGGGGTCCAGACAGGGTAGAGCATTTCATTTCTTTTTCCCTGACTCAATTTTCTAGTTCCAACCCTGCCTTTTTATTTCAAGAAATTGTTATACTGTGCTAACCCCCCAGTTGGCTGGGCTATGTTACTTCTCCATCCTTGGGTCTATAACTTTCATTTGCTCCAGGCTCCCCTGGAGGGTTTTTGACATTTTGATCAGTGAACTCACCCCCAGTTCAGTAGGTAGGTATAGGGTGGGATATAAGAATTTGCATTTTGGGCTGGGAATTTAGCTCAGTGGTTCCACCGCCTGCCTCTCAAGCACAAGGTCCTGAGTTCGATCCCCAGAGCTTGCATTTCTACTTAGCATATATATGTATGTATGTATGTATCAGGGATCAAACTCTGTATCTTGTGCTTCTGGAGCAGGTGGTGGCACCACTGAGCTAAACCCTGGACTTCTTTATATATTCTAGATAGTAGACCTTTGTCTGAGGAACAGCCAGTAAAAAATTTTTCCCTCACTGTGGGCTGTCTCTTAGATCTGCTTGTGATTTCTCTGGCAAAGCAGAAGCTTTTTAAAAAGATGAGAACTAAGTTGTTCATAATTTGTGCTAGCTCCTGTGCTATTGAGGATTTGTTCATAAAGTCTTTTCCTATGCTGATATCTTCAAGAGTTCTACCTAACTTATCTTCCAGCAAGTTAGTGTTTGTATTTTAATATTTAGATCTGTAATCCACTTGGATATTACTGTGTGGTGAAAGACAGTGATCTAGTTTTAACCTTTGGCAAGTTGAATGCCAATTTATCAACACCATTTGTTAGAGATGCCATCTCTCCTCCAGTGGGGATGGTTGTCTCCTTTGTCAAAGATGAGGTAGCTGAGTATGTCTGCAGTTGTTTCTGCATCTTCTAATCTATTCCACTGATCATTTAGTCTGTTTCTTTGCCAGTACCATGCTGTTTTTATCACAGTGGCTTTGCAGTATAGTTTCAAGATGGGGATTGTCATATCCCCTGTCATGCCTCTGTTGCCTAGAATGGCTTTTGTTATTCGAGGTCTCTTCTGATTCCAAATGAATTTTTGGAATGTTTTCTCAAGTTCTGTGAATTATACTCTTGGGATTTCAATAGAGATTGCATTGAATCTGTATAGCAGTTTTGGAAGTATGGCCATTTTCACTATAATGATTCTTCCTACCCAGGAATAAGGGACATCTTTCCATTTTCTTATATCCTCTTCAATCTTTTTTTCAGTGTGTTGTAGTTCTCACTGTAGAGATCTTTTGTTTCCCTTGTTAGATTGATTCCTAGATATTTCATAGTTTTGGATGCTATTGTGAAAGGTATTGTTCCCTAATTGAAACAATCTATTGTTTGTGAAACAATCTATTGTTTGTGAAGGGTATTGCTTCCCTAGACTCAGTGAGTCTGTTATTTGTGTATAAGAAGGATACTGAATTTGAGTTGACTTTGTATCCAGTTATTTTACTGATCTGTCAATTAGGTGTAGGTATCTTTTGGTAGAGTTTTTTGGGTTTTCTATATAAAGTATCATATCATCAGCAAAAAATGACAGTTTAACTTCTTCATTTCCTATCTTTATTGCTTTTATTTCATTCTCTTGTCCAATTGCTGTGGCTAATGTTTCCAAAACTCAGAAGTGGTAAGAGTGGAAACCCTTGCTTTGTTCCTGATTTTAGCATGAAGGCTTTCAGTTTTTGACCATTTAGCATGATGTTGGCTGTTGGTTTTTCATAGATAGTCTTTATCGAGTTAAGGCAAAGATCATCCTCCAATTTTCTGTTGGGCTTTTATCATGAATGGGTGTTGAATTTTGTTGAATGCTTTTTCTGCATCTATTGAGATGATCATATTGTTTTGTATAATAGAATGTTTTCCAACAAAACTTTATACAAGCAAACAATAGGTCAAATTTAGACTCTAGTTTGTATTTTTTTCAGTATACATAAATAATTTTACCGAGGTCCATTTTCTTGGTTTAAAAGTTTCAAAAGTCAGTAGCAGAAAAAAATTAGTTGATAATATAAAATTTGAAGTAAATATATCAATGGGATAACTATGTGGTAATAAAATGTGTAATTCACAGTGTAAAGCCTATACTTTTCTGTGAAATAATAAGAATAAATTTTTTTTAAATTTTCTAACAAAGCCTATGTCCCACTTTTTAAAATTCAGAAACAAATTAATATTGGAGCACTTATTAATTGATCACAGTTTAACTTGTAATGATAGAACCACATAAAAAGATTTCGCTTCTGAGGCAGAACCGTGGTACAGTTTGTCTTTGGCATTTGAATGATGTTTGTTCTGTTTGCCTTACTAGGGATGGGTGATCAAATTCTGAAGCAGCCTCAAAAATCTACAACACAACAAGAAAGATTACACATCATTCGTGGCCTCCATTCTCTCTAAATTTTGTGTCTGCTGTGACTGAGCTGAGGTTTTATTATCGCAGTCTTTCTTGTTGAATTGACGGAGTCACCTGTGACTCTCTCATTTTTAAAAATAATTTTCTTGATAGTTACCCTATAATTCAAAACCAAAGTGAGTACAGCCACTGTTCTGAGACATGTTAGAAGCTAAGCGGGTCCTATTCAGCATTTTACCTAATTGAATAGGTGGGAAATTGCTTTGCTTTGTACTCACCTTGAAGCCTATCCTTTTGTTCTTATTCATTCTTTTAATTACGTGGAAGAAGAAACCAGACATTCTAATTGGGTCTCACTGTTAGAAGTACATTAACCTCTTCTGCATGAATTTGTCCACACTTTTGATGCTGTTCATGGACTTGGTGTTCTTGGTTCCTGAGGCCTAGTCCATTTGTACTTGGGGCAAGTAATACAGTGGCAGAGAAAGCTGGCCTGATAAAAGGTCTCAGGTTGTAGCTCTCACTGCTTTGCTTAGCTCCTGTCAGTTCAAAGTAAAATTCCAGATGCTCATTTGGGGCTGTGGCTGCACAAAATATATTCATAAGTTGAAATAATGGTATGAACTGTAAACCGCAAGTCTATATTTGGAAAATTCCTGGAGTCTAGACAATTCTTAGTCTAGGATAGCTGAATTCTCTTACTTAGTTCATATGATCTCTCCCTCTCCCTGTCTTCCTGTGTGTGTGTGTGTGTGTGTGTGCACGCGCATGCACACACAAGTCTTTGTGAAACATGATTTCCTATCTTCCTGTATAGTAGAGCCAGTGCATATAATTTGAAGGAAAGCTTTTCTCGGAATATTAATTATTACACATATAGCTAGCATTTCCCTTACACTTTCTGTAAAGAATATAAAGCTTTTAAATGTCTCCGCTTTAGCTGACACTACATTTATCTCGCCAAGCTCTGATTCAGCATTGCTATGGATGAAATAGAAGACCCTGAGGGTAGGTCCATCCTGTGTTCAGTTTCAGCAAGCCGTGAAGAAGGGCAGTCTATGGTGGGTGACAGAGAGAGCATTTAGAGGACACTGTGGCATACGAGAAAGATGAGATGGAGCAAACAAGGTGAAATGCAACAGGGATAAACATCAAGTCATACATTCATTTGCTGCCCCCAAACAACCAACTGCACAAAATGGGACGGGGCTTAATGAGGCTTTAGTCTTCATCAAGCTCAGTAGAAGTCAATACTGTGACATAACCAAAGTAAGAAAGCAAATGTTGAAATCAGGCTGCATGAGAAAAAGTACAGCACTTAAAGTGGCACGAGTCCCAGTTCCCTCAGCTGCTGAAGACATTTAGTTCTCTCCCGGCTGCCTTATGTGAGAAATGAAGGTCAATATTTTTTCCCAGATAATCAGGATTAAATATGGCAATGCATATACAGAAATTGGTATGATCTGCATTACAAAGTAAGTGTGCAATTTGTGTTAGATAATGATGGTAGCAATGTTGATAGAAAATACCCAGAACTGTTGGAAGGGAAAGAAGCTAAGACAGACAAAGGGAAAAATGCTGGGCATCAGTCAAGAAATTGGAATCATTTACAACAGGGGTGAGATAGCTAGGTGAACACATCGGAAATCCTGTAAGAGCTGAAGAGGTGGAATATGGTAGATGGCATTGAAAGGTCATTGATTACCAAGGATATGAACCAAGAATAATGGAGAGATAATAATATATCCAGTATTTAAAAATGTACCCAGAAGCATATTTTAAATTCTGCCCAGAGGGATAAATTATTTAAGAGTGGAGAGTTACGTGTAGGCTTGATGACTTTTAAATGTTGTTGCTACAGAGAAGATTGGTTTTGGGTCTTCTAAGGCATTCTCCAACCCTGAGATTTTTCATTTTATAAATATTATTTATAAAAATAATTATAACCCTAAATGGTGAACACAGGCCTTACCTTACATTTAACGTTCTTCGTTCTCTGAGGTGGGAAGTGCTGAGTGACACAGTCAAAATTATAAGAGACATGCCAAAAAATATTCAGTCTTAATGCTTAGGTGCTGTTGGCTTTCATTGCTTTATATCTGTGATCCCGCGGGGCCGGTACCCTAGGAATTGTATTGTGTCTGCCATTTGCTGAGCTGCTTTGGGAGGGATGGTGTCACCTGCTCACGACTCCTCCTGATGAACAGCGTCAAGGCTGTCAGATAAAGGAAACTTTTACAACTACAGGATCTGGTAACTATGCCCAGAGTTCCTGGTATACATATGCTCTTGGATAACTCGTTTAGCCTTTCTGAGCCTCGATTAACTCTCCTGTAATAGGTGCATGGCCAGATGTCTTTCAAATGTTGAGACAGGGATCAAATTTAATGACTGCACGTGAACCCAACTAGTGGTGTTGTTACAACCTAGGAAAATATAGCAGTGCGATTTTTCACTCAAATGGAGCATTTTGTCTACCCAGGTTAGCTACAATTCTTACTCAGAAATATGATTTTTAAGAAAACACTGAGAACATTTTCAAGGAGGCTGTTGATTTCTTTGTGAAACTGACAAGCTTGTACAGCCTGACTCGGGTAGCCTTGTAGGCATTCGGGAAAAGGAAGGGTGTGTTCACGAGAACGTGCCGACAGGCATCTGTTGTGAGCGCAACGGGAGGCAGCTGGTGGTGTCCAGGACTCAGAGATCTGTTCCGTGTGCTCTGTATTTACCTGGTTTGGCTCTCCCGGTGTGGCTGTGCCATCGTCTCTATTGATGACTCCTCCTTTATCTCATTCCTAAACAGGATGGGAAGATATTCTGCCGACGGACAACTTGTGATTGCCGGAATCCCAGCGTGGACCTTTTTTGCTGCCCAGAGTGTGACACCAGGGTCACGAGCCAGTGTTTAGATCAAAACGGACACAAACTCTATCGAAGTGGAGACAACTGGACCCACAGCTGCCAGCAGTGTCGATGCCTGGTAATGTCAGCTTCCTGCCAGTGTGCTGGCCCTTTGCTTGGCAAGAGGCTCCATGTTCATTTGCCTGTGGGCTCTGGATCCCAGCTCTTTGTAATGCTGTGCAGACAGTTGTGGGGCTGTGGCTAACTATGGGGCGTACGTTCTTCCTAAAGAAATTCAGATATATGAAAATCCTAAAGAATACATTAATGGCATAGGTTTGGTTTACGCAGTGTTGGTTTACAGCTGTTACTTTTTAGATAGTCCAGATTTTTAAAAAAATCCTGCGAGACAGATTGCTTTTAGGCTTTCACAGGCACTTGTTTTCCTTAGAGAGCCAAATCCTTTATATATTGTGATATAATCATTAAATATTCCAATGCAAGAGGTAACGACATATAGTGGAAATGCCAGAGATTGAGTGATAGAGTCGTATTTCTAGACCACTTCCCATCCTGTTTCTTCCATGTGTGTGATTACCTTGGACAAGGCCCAGCACTTTCCGTGCTCACTCTTACCTGCAAATGTACACAGGTGCACATGTTTGTACATGAGTCTGTGACACTGTTAGAATAGAGAGGATACATGGAGGACAAATACAATGCTTGACACATAGAAGAAAGTTAGTGCACAGTCATTGCTGGAGTTTGAATTTCCTACAGGGCAAACATGAAGGTTGTTTTAGATGCTAACACAGGCATACTAATGGATAACCAGTGTTGAGATAGGCCAGAGAAAAGCTTACTTTCTGAGCCTGGTTCATTCCATTTCAAAGTATTCCACACCAAAATAGAGCAGGGGGAAGGAGGAAGGAAGGGAAGGAAGAAAGGTGTCTATGGATGAGAAGACTTTTAGGCTATCTTATCATAGTAAGTATGATTTTCCTTTTGTGAAGAGGTCACAAACATGGAGCATTCCATCTCAATAAACTCATAATGGAAACTTAGCTGAGGGTTTAACTTTTGTTGAAATAAACTATTGAGTCTATATGTACTTTACAAGAATAAATTCAGAGAAATTGTCTTTAAATTTAGATCAGACTTTCTAAAATCTCTAGGAGAATATTCACACAAACCTAATAATATATGTTCTTCTCAATTCTTCTTAACTCCAAGGACTATAATTCAGAAATTAGAATGAAAGCCCTTTCCTTCTAATTCCCATCCAAGAACCAATGTATCCAGAAAGGCACAGTGGTACACACATATAATTCTAGTAGTCTGGGAGGCCAAGCCAAAAGTGTGAGCCCATCCTGGGAGACTTCGTGACTTAGTGAGATGCAGACTCAAAATTTTTAGAAATTTTTAAAAGGGCTAAGGGTGTATCTCAGTACAATGTCCCTGCAGTACCAAAATAACTGTCCAATACAAATATATCATCAGTTTTCATACCCATCTGGAGAGCTATATTTCTTTTTCTCCATTCTGGAGGTCACCAGAAGAAATGACATGCATCTTGCATGTTAAGTTTTCATACATAGAATTTCAAAAGTATGCCTTTCATTCCCAGACTCCAAGGCAAAAATTTTTTTTGAAGAACAGAAATGATAAACACTAACTTAAAATTACTTGAGAATAATATGGGCCATATTTCATAAATATTTATCAAGAGTTTGCCTATGCTAGACTTTGGGTGATATAATAGTGAACAAGATGGACACCAACTATCTCTGCAAGAGCCCATTGTCTTTCCATGCTGACTGAAGAGTTCGGTGTGGTTCCCATATATTATAATGAGTGTATTGATAGCAGAACAGGCTGCATAGAGAAACAGTCCTATCCTAGGCAGATCAATGGAGTCACAGGTGCCAGGCGCTGAGACATGCAGGAGAGCCACTGGAACTGTAATGCAGATGTCACCAGTCACACATTACACTCAAAAATTTGTCTGAAATTGTTGTTTTCTGGAAATGCCTAGCTTCAAATTTGATGCTAGTAGTTTAGGAAGTTGCTGAAATATTATATTGCTTCGGGTTCCACTTTCGAACTCAAAAGAAATGAACATCTGTTTATACACTAGCAAGTATCTTGCCATCTATATATCTATGTACTTTATTAGTATATATTGACTGAATCTGTGCTAAACATCAGAAAACCAGCCCAAGCCTTGAACCTTCATGTGCAGTTGTATTGATAATTATAGCCTTGAATGTTTGGCACACACAGAGGCTGACCTAATTCTATGGAGGGGATGAGTTGTACCCATAATGGTGCCAACTAGGAACGTTTAATGAGGCCATGAAGAGAAGTTTTGTATCCCCTTCCTTCTAGACTTGGGAACACCTTGCACAGGAATGATGATGCATCCTTTCTGACTATCTTTCTACAGGAAGGGGAGGTAGATTGCTGGCCACTCGCATGCCCCAGTTTGAGCTGTGAGTACACAGCTCTCTTGGAAGGAGAGTGTTGTCCCCGCTGTGTCAGTGACCCCTGCCTGGCTGATAACATCGCCTATGACATCAGAAAAACTTGTCTGGACAGCTCTGGCATTTCCCGGCTGAGCGGTGCACTGTGGACAATGGCTGGATCTCCCTGCACAACCTGTAAATGCAAGGTAATTGGGTGTCCTGAGGATAGGCAGCCCCTGAACAGTTACTGGACTGCTTTCCAAAGGTTTCCTCCGGATGCTTCTGAGCACACAGGTTCCACAGGGTGCAGTGGAAACAGGCATGCACTAACTTCTAGTAGGAAGTTAATAGGTCTCAATGGCTCATACCTTCGCCTTGTGTGAAGGAAAATTCTGAATGAACATGGGCTAAAACCATCTCCTCTTGCCTGTAAACAGCAGAATTTTAACAATTGACTGTAAACCAATTTATGGCTGATTTAAGATACTTTTACCTGGACATTAGAAAAAAAAAAGAATGAAAGGTAGAAAGAGAAAAAAATCTATCTTCTTTTATGTGGGAAATATTACTAAGGTTTTCTATGCAACTATCAACAGTAAAAAGAAAGAGTGTTTGGTGAAGTTGTTTGCTTTGTTTCATTATCAGAGTGCCCATTATGCCCCCCCGCTCTTGCTACAGCATGTAATTGTGATTCTTTCCTGGCTTTCTTTGGAGGAATTCCTATAAAATGTCCTCATATGTCTTTAACATTATAAATGTGACCCTTGATTCCTTCAGACCCATGAAGTCCTGTGATTCTAACCAGTTTAGAACAATGATGAATCCATGTCAAAATCTCTAGCAAAACATCTAAGATTCCCATGATCAGGCAAGCTAAAAATATTTGTCTACTTGGTCACAGCAAACCCTAGCTCAGCTTCAGCCATCCGTGGAGATTGTCCAACTTGCCTTTCAGTACTGGTATTAATGTTGATTGTTTTCTTTTTCCTAGAAAGTACTATCTTAAGATGCAGCCCCAACAGAAAACGAATTACATCAGACATCAAATAGAACAAAGTCATGCTGCCATCTGTACCTTTACCCACAGAGCACTAGGTGACCAGGAGGCATGGACATGCATTTTACTTAGCATTAAGTTTTGATATCAGGCTTCCAATTCATTATAGGAAATCTGAAGCCATATTTCATTATTTTATAAAATGGATTTTAATGAATTTCCAGGAATATATTCATCAAAATAGGCACAGTCCCCTTCCTAGCCATCATGTGAGATTATATATGTATATACATATCTGTGTGTGTCTGTGTGTGTGTGTGTGTGTGTGTATCCCTAACATGCATGCCTATTTGGAACCGTCTTGAATTTGCCTTCATATTCTTGTCATACTTCTAATTAGCTTTTTTTTTTAAATGGAAAAGTATCTCTTTCAGATGTTTATTTTTTGAAAGAACCTCAATAGGAGTAAGTTCAACATAAAAGTGGTATGAAAAGTTGGATTGCTGGGGAGACGACCCAGACTTTCATTGATTGCTGACAGCATATAGAATAGAAAATAACTCAGGGGCTCTGTCAGTACTCTTCCTTTTCTACTCCTTCTCTAGCATTTTTGTAGCAATTTCTTTTGTGGTCTTTCTTGTTTCAAAATGCAGAAGGTCATCTTGAATATCAAAATGGTAGATGGCCCATTGACTTACGTTCTGCGTCTCAGTTGACTGACTCTTGTGTCCTTGTTATACAGAATGGGAGAGTCTGCTGCTCTGTGGATTTGGAGTGTCTTCAAAATAATTGAAATGGACTCATCACAGGAGAAAAATGGACAAATGGCCATCCAAGAAGAATAGAAGAGGAGAAAAATCGGAGCTGATTTTTTTTCTTCTGTCATAGATGATTACCAAAGTCTCCATCTGAGGAAGGTGTTTGGGGGTTACCTTCGGGACCGATCACTTTGCTCATTTCTGCTTACCTAGTCTAGGTGACCTACAGTGCAGTGCATTTGAGTCTATGGTTGTTAAGAGAAGCTTCCCGTGTTGTAAATCATGTTTCCCTCACCATATCATTTGCGAATACATTTAAATGATTTCATGGTAAATGTTGATGCATTCTTTGGTTTATTTTGTGTACTAAGGTTGATGGAGACAGCACCATTTTACTTATTTATTTATTTATTTATCTTGATTTCTGGATCAGATTCTGAAAATAAAATTGCCTGTTGTGATTTTGTCCCATCCACTGCATACTTAGCATTGAGATTCTTGTGAAATGAATTGAAGAAAATGCGTATGTAGGGTCCAATCACAGCAAACATATACTTCTAGGCATTAAATATACTTAGATGGACACTGTTCGGCAAAGGCATACTGAAGGCAATTATGATACCTTAAAGGGGAAAAGGCCACAAACAAATACATTTCTGAGAAAGTGCTCTCCCCTTCCTCATGAAAAAAAAAATATATATATATATATAAAATCTTAACCCACCATTTAGAAGCAGTAGTGTTTAAAACCCTTCTTAGCTACAAAAGCAAAGTTATCTTACCATTGATTTTATATAGCATTTAATAACTAACAAAGCACTTTAGTAGTTATTAGTAAAGTTATCATAACGGAGGTAAATAATACTATTTACCCTATAATACAAAGACACGAATTAAGGAGTCTGGTAAACCCAAAGTTTTAAAGCTCCTGGATTTATAATACATCAGGTTCATTAACCAAGGCTTCTACTTCTTGTCCCAGGCTGTTTTCCACTAAACCACATTGCCTTGCATAGGAATGAAGAGGATTCTGAGAAAATCTATTTTTAGGCTCAGTAGTTACTCGGAACAGTGAATGATTCTACTTGAGCTACTGCAATATTTCTAAAAGTTGGCAGGTATTAAATTATACAAAATGGATAAAATGTAAAAGTGAAATTTTATCTGAGCTGAGAATTCAACCTTTTCTACTTTCAGATAAATCAGTTATTCTGAATCAAGTTAGTTCATGGATTTCCAACCACTCCCCCAACATCAAAACATCTAACTGGCTATATGAGGCATGCTAAAAATTACACTTAAAATTTAATTAGAACTTTTAGTTAAAACTTTTAAACCTAGTCATTGTCATTATTATTTATTCATATTTGTCGAATGGAGGTGATAATTAAAACCTATTGTAAAAATGGAGTGCACTACATGAAATCAATTTCATGTGAATTGTAATAAAAGTTTAAATACTACCTTTGACAACGACTGAGATAATATGCTAAATGAGAGTGCATCTCTGTTGTAATCCTTTAAATGAAATTTTGAAGTGAAGAATTTAAAAATTACTCTTTTGAAAATATTGATAACAAGTCATGTAAAAAGAAACCTTTCATTTTTTTGTTGGAACCAGGTACATCTACAAAAAATTATTTGTGATTGCATATGTCTGGGATGGGGGAACCATGGCTCCGTGTGTCAGCTCCAGCTCTTTCCAGTTTGGCTTAGAAAGGCTTGTTTATCTGCGGACTGTCCATAGTTGCAGACAGAATGGCAATGGTTTCCACAGATAACACATGGCTTACACAAGACCAAGGCTTTACTATCTTGTCTTCTCCTGAAAAAGTTTGCCCACCTCTGGAACAGATGAATACCGAATATGGATATGTATTTTAGAAATGTCCCACATCTTTTCCCAAGGAACTTTCAAAGCTCAACAACTTTATTTGAGTTTGTGTATGTACACACATGACTCTCATGCCGTTGGCGCTCATGGCTCATCATAAAATATCCTTATTTCACAAGTACAATTGTTTTTTTTTTGTTGTTGTTGTTGTTGTTTTTTTGGTACCGGGGATTGAATTCGGGTCCTTGTGCTTGCCACAGAACCACTGAGCTAAATCCCCGGCCCTCACGAGTACAATTGTAAGACCCAATACTTTCTTGTTTTCATTTGAGCAGATGGGGTATATTTAAACTGGGCTAACCTGATGATATAACTTTATTGTGTTTAGCTGCACAGTTAACATACTTATCAGCTTAGCTCCTATTAATAAGGGTATGCTTTCTCCACAGCAATGGATCGCATTCGTATATTATTAAATGTTATTGAATCAGGTGTGGTGGAGCACTTTATACATAGGTGGTGTGCTAAGCTACACTGGGGAAATAAAAAGATTAACAAGACAGAACCTTGTTTGTTCTTGGTTTTGATACTGAGGACTGAACCCAGGATTTCCTTGCTGAGTTACATCTTCCCCTCTCCTTTTTTTGTTTTGAAGAAGGATCTTACTTGATCTTGAACTTGTGATCCTCCTGTTCCAGCCTCCCCAATTCCTAGCAATCTTTGAGCTCATGAAGGGGAATTTATTGAAATATGGCAGCGTTTGAAATACCGCCTCTAACCAGAAATCCTCAGAAAGAGTTAATTATCAAAAATCGGAACTGGGAGTGTAGCTTGGTGTAGAGGACTTGCCTACTAAGTGTGAAGCCCTGGGTTCAGTCTTCAGTATGTCAAAAACAAGCAGGACAACCTGATAGAATGTCTTAGCTATTGTGCTATAATTGGAAGTGTAAAATGAGTGTCCACTTCAAGAGCTAAAGCAGTGTTTGACAAATCTATCACCTTGAGACCACAACCCTTGTCAGCCCCACCTTAATTGTAAAGATACTGCTGTACATTGGCAAGAAACAGTAAAAAATACATGAGGGATTGTAGCTCTCCACCCATTATCTCTCATGTGAGCCAATTGTGAATCAAACGGGGGTGGGTATTCTGCATATTAACTAGACACATATCTAGGAAACACAAATTTCCCTTCATTCTTCTAGACCACACAGGCATATGTGTGTGTGTGTGTGTGTGTGTATTTATAAGATATTTGTGTTATATATGTTTCATATGAATATATACAATATCTGTGTAATTCACCAAGCATATGTATCATATATATTCATATGCAACATATATATTTATTTTGTTCCGGGAGCTTCACCTCCTCTGAATTTTCTAGGTCTGTGTTTATGTCACTGTTGTGCACTTCTAATATATAGTTTTTCTTGTGTTATTGTTACAATAGACTATGAGTTGGGCTGTAAATGAAATCTGTGCATGTTTTTCATCTGCTAGCACACAGCATAGCGCCTTGCACAGAGCAGGTTTTCAATTATTTCCTTTAAATATTGAATATATTTTGTTTTCATAACATAAAAAAATAATGAGGTACTAGAAATAATCCACTGTAGTTTTCAAATGTTCTTAATGTTTTAAAAAGAAAAAATGTATTCAGTGCTCCAATATAACAATCAGATAAAAGCAGACTGTCTGTAATTGCAGTAGGGTTAAGACAGCGGGAACCCTTCACACACCCCAGCACAAGCGACAGCTGTCAGCAGAGCACAGTTAGAAAGCCATCGACCTAACGCTTCACCTTTACTTTCACAAATGAGGAAATCAGCCGTCGGAGTGACCAGCTGGCCCAGAATTCACAACTAATTAATCGTAGACCTAGAACTACCATCCAACTCTGCTCCATTCTGCCACGGTTCCTAACATGTGCCCACATTTCAGTTTCAAGTGAACTGTTCCTACCTGCTATGAAGGGATGATTAAAGACAGTCGTGTGCGCACTGCGGTATCTGTTATTACCTCTGTGTTCCCTGTCCCTCTTGATTGTGATTTATGAAAATTCTGATGATGGTCCTGTGAAACATTCAGATTATAAGACCAGAAAGTATGTTGAAACCCACAATAGAAATGAGCCATTTTACTCAATCTCACAATATTGGGCTTTATAGGAAAATGACAGGGAAAATGAAGCAGTTTACCAAATCAGCTACTTACTATTCTCTGTCTCTCTCTCTCGCACACACACACACACACACACACACACCCCTCAGAGTATAGGAAATGTGGCAGTATTGGGAAGCAATCCCTTATCTACAGTCTGTTTTCTGTTCTCATTCATCTATTCACCACTTTTTCTTTCATTAATTCCCTTAATTAATCCAATTAATTCCTTTCATTAATCCAAATACTGTCTAGAAATAAATGAGACAAAACTTTGTAGCCTGTGTGTAAAAGAAATAAACTAGAAAGTGGTTATTTGAAGATTATGACTGTATTAGCACCAGAAAGAAAATATGCAAAGTGATAAATTAGAAAGGACCTGGAGAAACTCCCTCGAGACGGGGTGGTGTAATCCAGGAGGTTCTGTCGAAGATGCTGACAGGCAAGGTGAGTTTGAGAGAAGGAGGACAAGCCCTGTGTGCACAAGAGTTTAGGGAAAGCTTTCCAGGTGAAGGAATAGATTTTGCTTTGCAAAAACCCACAAAGCAGAAGAGAGATGAGGGAGTTGAAGGTGAGGAGTGGAGCCAAAGGCCGGAAGGCAGAGGATGTGAGGCTGGAGAGGCATCAGGCTGGGGCGGAAGTTGCAGGCCGAAGTGTCGTGAAGACCGCAGTCACACTTTCCTTCTGAGATCTATGGGAGGGTCTGGAAGGATTCACCATTTTTTAAAAAATTTTTTTCACTTTTCATCCACTCGCATATTTACACATTTAAAAAGTTTTTTCACTTAATCCGTATTTAGTTACGATTGCAGAGACAGGAAACTGTCATACCCAGGAAGGATAAGAGAGAAAGCAGCATTATCTTCCCTGGTAGAAATTTAAACTCTCCAGTGGGCTCTTGAAGAGCAATGAATCAGAGAAGAAATAGTCTGCTGGATACAAGGTAAAGAAACACATTAAACAGTGGGAGGTTTAAGGATTTTTTCACCTCTTCCCCACCCTAACCTAATTTCCTAGTTCTTGCCCACTGGAATCATAATTGGCTGTGTGGTTTATAACAGTGATTCACTTTGTATTACGGCTTTAATATAAGGAAGACAAAAGCCCAGTTCATCTAGGGACAGTAACAACGGGTCCATGCTAGCCGGAAGGGCAGCCACCATATAAAGCTACACACTGGGTAGAAATTAAGTTACTAGGAAAATGATGTTTATATAACGTGCGAAACTGTCCAATACCCAAAGGTGTTAATTTTTAAAATTAGAACTATGTATTATTGAGAAGGAAAACAGTATTTTATGGACTGACAAGGCTAATATCAGAAATGCTAACCATGACAAAATGCAAATTTACGTATAGACGCTAGCCATTGATACGCCAGTCTCCTGTGATGAAAGGTGTTCCATTGTCTAAAGAATGCTGACACACTTTTATCGTATTGTAGCACTGTTGTTTTAAGGATGCAAAGAACTAAATGAAAGTGAGTGTGGGTTTGGGAATGGTTCTTTTAAGTGCAAAGTAAAGACATTAAATTTATCAAGAATATCAAACACCAACTTCAGAGGAAACTCAAAGACATTTTGATGAAAGTAGAACAATAATCTGGGTAACTACCTCCTTGATTTTTGCACACCGTGAACCCCAGTCATAGCTGCATACAGAGCAGAGAGCATTCTGGGCAGACAAGGCACTCCCAGATAGGAATTTCTGCTAGGTAATTTTATGTATGAGATTTGAAAATGATATTGAATGAATGGGTCGCCGAAGTCGAAAAATCAGAGTTGTGAAGATTTGAACAGATTTTAAAATATCAAAATATCAAATGTTATATGGGACAATATAACAGTGAGGTGGAGGAAATGAAAACCTCCATGACAAATACAGTGCATACCTCAAAGACCTAGCTGATTGTCAGCCATCTATGGCCTGTTCAGAAAGTGGGCCCAGTGTTCCTCACCTTTTCCACTTTCACGAAGGAAGCCACAACTTTGGATTTTAATCTGTGGAATTATGAGTGTGCAGTTCTGCGCCCAAGTTGGAAAGGATTATGTAACACAAAGCGTGTCTGTGGACTTCCGTAACCCAGGCCACTTTAGGGGCACTGGAAACCCTTTAAGTTATTTAATACTTCTTAAAATTTGATAGGCCTTTCTCTGACCTCTGGCAGCTACCCTGCAATTTTCCTTTCACTTTAATCACTGCATTTGCACCAAGACCCCAGAGCTTCCTGAATATGTCTATTCTGTAGAGTGGGAAAAGGTGATCCTCCTGCTGAGTAGTTCACTTCTACCGGAATGAGAAGAGTGGATTCCTAGGTGAGTGGAACGTCAACGTGTGGTTACAAAGCAAGATCCGTCACCATCACACGCTATATCCATTTCTGAAACAAATGGTGTGTTTGGCAAAAAGGACTCCTTCAGAAGGTTTAAGATTGAACCTCTCATGTCCCAAATAATAACCGTGGGTTAATTCATTCAGGTGCTCAGTGGAAGTGCAAGATCCTTCCTGCTCCACCCACACTTTGAGTCACAAACAAAGCAAAACAGACCAAGGAAGCCCGGATAGCAGGAGACAATGGGGCGAGCCCAGGGAGCCCTGACTGGCAGGGGCCGGAAATCTCCTGTGCCTGTGAAGAAAGAAAAACACAGAAAACCTCCTCACCGGTTATAACAGTGTGTCTGATGCTGCAGTCCATCTGAGAAAGGACCTGTTTCCTTTCTTTTACTCAGAAGATAAAAAAATATCAAAAATAAACCTAGCTAAAGTAGTCCTAAAATTCTTGTAATTGGAGAAAGTTAAAAAGTAGCCCTTGTGTTCTTTGAAGAGTATTAGAATTAAAATTACTCATGTGTATTCGTTTTCTGTGGGTCTTGTAACGAATTATCATGCGTCTGGTTTCTAAAGCCGACAGAAATGTGCTCCCTCTGAGTTCTGAGATGGAGAACTCTGAGATGGATTCCTCACAGGACAAGGCTCCATGCAAAGGCTGTTAGGGCCCCTCACCCGGTCTCCGATGGCCCTGGTCGTCATCCTTGGCTGCAGCTTTGTCACTCCAGACTCTGCCACCGTGGTCACCTTGTTTTGTCTTATATGCTGGCTCTTTTAAGCATGCTTGTCATTGTATTTAGGGCAAAATCTGGAATTACTACTCATCTTGAGATTTTTAACTTAGTTCCAGCCACAAAGGTATTTTTTTTTCTAAAAGAACATAATATTTACTGTTTCTAGGGTTTAAAATGTGGAAATAACCCTTAGTGGGGCACCATGCAGCTGATTATACCTGGGTAATAGCGGAGTCTAAAAGAAATTTACTATGTAAATCTCATCTGAGCAGTGGTATAGACAAATGACCATGCCATTTTTCGTCCTGTATAGTAAGGAAGCCCTCCCACCTAAAGTGTACAAAAGATACACAGACTAGAATGTTTACATTTTAGAATTTGCATTTTGTCCACAGAAAACTGAG